ACCTGAAGCTCACAAGGAAAATCAATGAAGCCGAGGAGCGGATAGACACCATCACCACCGCCTCGGCCGAAGAAGACACACCAAAGGCCGAACCGGTCGGAGACGTGGAAGATGTTCCGTTGGACGTCTCCCGGCCGGAACGCACGCTGAAGATTGGGACACAGCTCCCCCAACAGATCCGAAGGGACATCCTCTCTGTCCTGAGAGCGTACGCCGTCGTCTTCGCATGGGGACCAGAGGACATGCCGGGCATCAGCCCAAAGGTAATCACACATCGGCTATCGGTGAACCCGGCCTCCTCCCCCATCAAACAGAAAAAACGCTACCTCTCAGCTGACAGGAGGGAATTCGTCAAAGCCGAAGTGGCCATGCTGCTCTCCATCAGGCACATAAAAGAGGTGAAGTACCCCACGTGGTTGGCGAACGTCGTCCTCGCACCAAAGCCGCCCACGTTCAGAATGTGTGTTGATTACACTGACCTGAACAAGGCGTGCCCAATGGACCCATTCCCTCTCCCCAACATTGATCAGTTGGTGGATGAGACAGCAGGGTGCGAGTTGATGTCGTTCCTCGACGCGTTCAGAGGGTACCACCAGATATCCATGCATGAAGATGACGCGGAGAAGACTGCTTTCATGACCCCGGAGGGAATTTTTTGCTACCTCGTCATGGCCTTTGGGCTCAAGAATTCCGGCGCCACTTATACAAGGATGGTAGCCCGGGTTTTTAGAGCAGTCTTAGGTCGGACGATGGAAGCATACGTCAATGATATGATCGTCAAGAGCAAACAATCCACAACTCATGCCGACGACCTCCGGGGCATCTTTGAGATCATGAAGAGGTACAACCTCCGGCTCAACCCGAAGAAGTGCACCTTCGGCGTCCAGGGAGGTAAATTCCTGGGGTACCTGGTCAGCCGAAGGGGCATTGAAATAAACCCAGAGAAGATACAAGCCATTATCAACATGGAGCCACCCCGCAACATAAAGGAGGTACAACGGCTGACGGGACGCCTCGCGGCCCTGAACCGTTTCCTCTCAAAATCCGCGGAGAAGTCACTCCCCTTCTTCCAAACAATGAGGAAGGCCACCAGCTTCAAATGGACGGCGGAGTGCCAACAGGCCTTCGAGGAACTGAAGCAATATCTCGCCTCCCCACCCGTCCTATCCAAGCCCCAGCCCGGCGAGACTCTCTTCCTTTACTTGGGAGTGAGCACGTCGGCCGTCAGCTCTGTACTCATCAGGGAGGATGACGGGGTGCAAAAAGCAATATTCTACGTCAGCAAGACGTTGCGGGAGGCCGAGCTCAGGTACTCCCCTATTGAGAAGACGGTGCTGGCCATCGTCCACACAGTGAAGAAACTGGGCCACTATTTTCAAACTCACCCCGTCCACGTCCTCACGCATCAGCCGTTGGGAGCCCTCATGAGGAGCCCAACCAGCTCTCCAAGGATGATCAAGTGGGCAATATTCTTGAGCCAGTACCAGATTGAGATCAAGCCGAGGCCATCCATCAAAGGGCAAGCCTTAGCTGATTTCGTCACCGAGTGCACGGCAAGGGAGACGGCCGTTACCACCACAGGAGCTGAATCGGACGAAGCCTGGACCCTCTACACGGACGGGTCCTCGGCCACCAAAGCCTGTGGGGGTGGCGTCGTCCTCATCTCCCCGGAAGGATTTAGAGCATACTATGCCATACGCTTCAATTTTAAAGTATCCAACAATGAGGCGGAATATGAAGCGCTCCTCAGCGGACTCAGACTAGCCGCTGGCCTCAAAGCACGCCACGTCAGAATCAAATGCGACTCCAAACTCGTAGTGAGCCAGATGGAGGGTTCCTACGAGGCCAAAGAAGGGAGGATGAAGCAATACAAGGAGGCCGCTGCGGAATTGCTCAAGGCGTTCGATACCTACGAGATCACTCAGATCCCAAGGGCGGAGAACGCCGAGGCCGACATACTCTCCAAACTTAGCTCCGACACCCCTGAGCACATCTCCAAGATAGCTAAGGTGGAGGAGTTGAGCATGTCAAGCATTCACGCTAGCCCTATACTCTCCATACAACACCAGCCGGAGGACTGGATCACTGACATCGCAACCTACATCACCTCCGGCACACTACCCGAAGACGAGGAGAGGGCCAAACTAGCCAAGCTTAGGGCGCCAAGCTACGTCATTGAGGGTGACAAGCTTTATAAAAGATCATACAATGGCACCCTCCTCCGATGTCTACATCAGAATGAGGCCGAAGTGGCCATGGAAGAAGTCCACTGCGGCGTCTGTTCATCACATCAGGGGCCCTTCAGCATGTCGCGCCGCCTCGTCGTCCAAGGCTACTTCTGGCCGACGATGGCGCGCGATTGTGCTGAGGTCGCCCGCAGATGTACCGCATGCCAACACTATCAAAGGGCACCTGGCCGACCCGCCGTCAACTACGCCCCGGTCAGCACTGCCATCCCCTTTTCCCGATGGGGCATCGACCTCGTCGGCCCTCTACCAAGAGCTGCGGGCAACAACAGATACATCATCGTCGCCATCGACTACTTCACCAAATGGGTCGAGGCCGAACCGCTCGCAAGCATCACCGGAGCGCGGTGTCGAAAGTTCGTCTACAAGAACATCCTCACCCGCTTCGGCGTACCTCAGGAGATCATATCAGACAACGGCACCCAGTTTGAGGCCGAACCATTCCAAAGCCTCCTCTAAGAGTGGGGCATCAAGCATCGCTTCTCCTCCGTTGCCTACCCTCAGGCCAACGGACAGGTTGAGAACGCCAACAGAACCATCTTGGAGGGGCTGAAGAAGAAACTCGAGGAAGAAGGCGGGAGTTGGGTCGACGAGCTCCCCAACGTCCTATGGTCCTACCGCACTACGCCAAGAAGGGCCACCGGGGAGACACCATTCTCCTTGTGCTACGGCTTCGAAGCCAAGGCTCCCACTGAAGTCACCCTCCCCAGCCGACGGGTCACACAATACGACCCCGAAGCCAATGAAGAAGCAATGAAGATTGACTTGCACCTCATTGACGAAAGGCGGGAGATGGCCTACCTCAGAGCGGAGAACTACAGACGACAAGTCAAATCCTACTACGACGCCAAGGTTCGCTCCCGCGAATTTCAAGTGGGGGACTACGTCCTCCGCCGAAGGGAAGCAAGCAAGCCGACGTAAGGAGGAAAGCTCGCCGTCAAATATGAAGGGCCCTACGTCATCAGCGCCGTCTTCAAAGCCGGCACTTATAGACTAAAGAACCCCAATGGGTCAGATGTACCACGATTGTGGAATGTACACCACCTGGTGAAATTTTACCAATGACTCGAGAAGTGGTGAAGCGGGCAAAGTCCCCCACCCCTCGGCTCATTGGTTGAATAAAGCACCCTCGGCCTAGCGCCACTCATTGAATAAAATTCATGTTTCATCCAATCTTTTAAGATTTGAGCTAAGGGAAACCTAAGGACCGCATCGGCCTAAGCGGTACAAACACCCGGGACCGATGCGACCTAAAGCCGTTGCAATAAACAACGCACCCAAAGCCGTTGCAATAAACAAACGCACCCAATGCCGTTGCAATACACAACGCACCTAAGGCCGTTGCGATCCACAACGCGCCTGCAAAGCCGTCGCATAGACGACGCACCTAAATATCGTATCGGCACAAGCGGTGAACCACCCAAATCGGCCGGCGATATGCAGGACGAAGGACCTGTGTGCATGGTCCGACGTCTTCAAACGGAGAAGCATACCGCGTCGTCCGCGCGGAAACCGCAGGACGACAAGCCTGAATTAAGGCCGAGGTTACAAAAACTCCACCCGTCAGTAAAATTTCGCTCAGGACCACAAAGGGCGGCCGTCAAAAGACGATGCCTAGTCCGGTCCCTCGTCGACGATAGACGTGGAAAGGCCAAAAAAGAGGCCACTGACACACCAAGCCGAGGGCGTATTTACTCCCTCGCACTAATTCACGCGAAAAGCGTAGCAGACAAACTACCGCACATGGACGAAGGGACAGTAACCCTTCGGCCACACAAAAAAAAAAAAAAAAAAAAAAAGAGGGAAGCCGACGGACCGCGCACTCGCCGGCCTCGAGCAAAAAACAAAATCCCCAAACAACCAAGCCTCAAATCGGCTAAGTACATATCAGGTTTTCACCATACAGGAAGCCGAAGTACACGCTTCGGCAGCAACCACAGCTTCACAAGAGGGATTCACTGTGGTTTCGAAACCAATCCATTACATAGGTAAAGGGTCGCGTCGTCTCCCCGTAGCAAAACCCAAGTAACGAGCCGAAGCAAAACAGCTCCATCAAGGCAAGTTTGACACTTAGAACATTTTCTTCGTCACTCTACAAGAGAGACGATGCGCTACCATTCCATATCTGGGTCTCGCTTCGTCCTCAACACTTCAGGATTAAATTCCAACACCTCGACTCGGAAAAGGTGTAAACACAAATAAGGAATCCATCAAGAGCCGACGAGGCGCATCGTCTTCAAAGAAAGAAGTTCGCTACGTCTCCATTAAAAGGGCCAAAACAGAAACGTGGTACTTGGACAAATGCTAAAACATTGGGACCACATCTCACTCCAGACGATGGAATACATCACCTAAGCCGTTGCGCTCCCATACTCACAAAGGGTTGCGACGTCTTAAACGCACGAGACATGTTTTGATACTGACTAAGAAATTCTGAAAAATAAGTCTCGGGGGTACGCAGACGAAGGAGCGCTTCGTCTCAATCACGCAGGGGCGCACTCCCCCCTGATACTTGGTAAAAAAATTTTGGAAAAAATCAAAAAGGAATACGAGGACGATAAAGACGAAGCAACACATTCATTCAAAGGCAAAAGAGTTCATTAAATTCAGATATCAAATACAAAGGGTGGGCGCTTCGGCCGTTACATGCACTTTGGTGCTGGAGCTACAAAAGTAATAAAAAGGCTAAGTACAAACTACGCTGCCTCAACGACTTGCTCTTTACTCTGGCCGGCGTCCTCCCCACTGCCACTGCCGGCATCGTCATCGTCACCATCCTCACCGACCTGAGAATCAGCTGGCCCTTCGAGCAAGTAATCATCACTGTCGCTCCAAGATGCTTCCCCCTCGTCCGAGCTAAGGATCGGAGGCTGCCTCTCCGACGGGGGGAGCTTCATGTCCTCATCAGGGTTTCTCATCCGCCGGGGTAGACTCAAGCCCCTCGGCCTCATCTTCCGGAAGCGACGACGAAGCTTCCTGTAAATCAGCCTCTGCATCCTATACTGGCCGCAGTTGTAGAAAGCTCGCGTCTCGTTCATCCAGAAGTCCTCGCCGGCGGGGTCCTTTGTCACCCAATCTGTGAGCCTCTCGGCCACCACCTTATAGCAGAAGGGGATCTGGTCTTCAGTTTTCCACCCCTCAGCCATGAAATCGGCTACGGCCTTAGCAGCAGCCGCCTCGGCGTCAGCTTTGAGCCGCTCCGCCTCCTCGGCCCTCTTGACGGCGGCGGCAACAGCTTCATCGGCCTTATTCCGGGCCGCCTCGGCCTCATCAAGGCGCATCCGAAGGAGCTTCATTTCATCCTCTGCAGCCTTGGCCCTGTCCCTCAGATCTTGAAGGGCCTCATCGGCTGAAGCAGCCTTGGCCTCCATCTTTTTCAGCCGCTCTATCTCGGCTTCCTGCCTCCAATGCTGCTCCCTCAGCATAAGGGCACCCTGGACGAAGCAGAACAAAGTTAGAGATGAAAAAACAAAAGCAAAGGAAAAATCATAAAGGAAAATGTCTTACCTGGACGACATAATCTATCCCTCCGTCGTACAACCGAACATGTTGGCCTTGTCGGCCGAGATACTGACGATCATACTCAGGCATAGCCTGAGCAAGCATGTCGTCGCCACCAACGGTCTCATTAAAAAGACCACCTTTCACGGGGTATCGTACCGTGACTTCGTACGACCCCTTGGCCAGAGCCTCCTCCAGACGGGCAGCAACGGCCGTAGAGGGAAGCACACGAGAAGCCGAGGCCACCATGGCCGAGGAGGGCAGATCATTCACAGGAGGGAGCACCGGCGGCTGAACATCCACAACAGCCTGAAAAGAAGGAGCACCGGCCTCATCAGTCGTTGAAGCCCTCTTCGTCTTCTTCGAAGCCTGGCTCGGCTTCAGTCCAGCTTCAGCCAGAGTCTTTTGGCCCTCATCGGCAGCCCTCCTACTCTTTTTAGCCGCCGGTTTCCTAACGGCCTCAGCACCTCCTTGAGGACCACCCGCAGACTTCTTGGCTGCCTCAGCAGCCTGGGCGGCCTTGAGCTCGGCATCGGCCTTCTTGGCGGCTCGAGCCATAAAAGATACGCGGTCCATGACAAAACCTGCACAAAACAAAGGAACATCAGTAAAGCAATAACTAAAAACGCTATGAGAAGGGTAAGTAGACGAAGGACAACCTTCGGCTTCAGCGGGAACGCCAAGACGGGGCCCATCGGCATGCTCATAAGACCCCTCGATCCTTGGCCAGAGGTCATCGTCCACATCACCGGGACAATAATATCGCACGAAGCCATCCTGTACTCCGTAACGTACGTCTTGATGCTCCTCGGCCCCCCCTTAATAAAGGCCTCTACCTGATTGCTTATTTCAGCACTCCAAGGGGGGGTATGCAACTCAAAGAGGCCGCTGTGACCATTGGAAGGAAAGAAGCCACCCTGACCCAAGGTGACGAACACGAACTTGGCCTTCCAGCCATGAATGGACGTAGGGAGATCCGTAAACGACCTCCTCCCACTAATCTGCTGCAGGGTTGCGTAGCCGGCACAATTTTGATGGCTCCCTCGGCCTATCCGGAACAAGTTCATGAACAGGGCAGTCGTCGGCGAAATCTCCAACTCTTTGCACCGGATCAAGAAGCCGATGATGAGCGAAAAGCTGTTGGGAGTCAATAGGGCCGGAGGGAGCTCCACCATCTCAAGATACTCCTTGATGAAGGGATGAAGAGGGAACCTCAGACCCTTGGCAAAACTCATCGGGTAGACACCAAAATAGCCCAAAGGCGGGTTCAGAACATGATCCGACGGCAAGGGGGCTCTGACACGGCCGTAGGGACCGACGTACAGCTGCGCAACGTGATAATCGCCGAGGGTCCCCTCCGGCCGAATGATGTACAAGTTGCTGAGATCTAACTGTGAAAACCCCTGCGGTACTCCCTTACGCTGCTTCCGCCGGTACGGTTTTTTCGTCTTAGGAGCCGAGGGGCCTTCCCCCGCTACTGACGATATCGGCGGAGGACAAGGAATGTGGGCAGACGAGGATGCCTCATCCCCCCTCAGAGGCGAGCTAGATGTCGCCTCGTCCTCACCAGAATTATGGGCTCCCGCGTCGGCACTCATTCTCTCCCCATCTACGGAGGTGCGGTAGTCGGCGGTATTCTCCATCTCGACCTCGAAGGCTTCAATCAGTCGAAGATCAACTCCAGGGGACGTATCGTCCTCGTCAAAAGGCCAATCCGACTCGTCCAAAGAAGCTGTCAAATCAATGGGGGAGGGAACGCTACGGCCGTTAGGGAACGGCATAACACCTAAACCTATTCCTAAGGGCGGTTTCTCGGATCAAAGTGACTTTCCTACGAACACTAGATCTAACCCCCTAGGAAGCAAAGTATAAGGAAAAACGAAGAAACAATTACAAGAACCTAACCTTGAAGTTTTGAAGAACACTTGAACACCTGGAGATTCGGGGAAGCACTTCTCTCTCTAGGAATCTCAGCAGCAATTCGACTTAGGCAAAAGGCAAAATGAGGGAATGGCTTCGGAATTGGGGGTATTTATAGGCACCCCTCCAACAGTCACTACACGTGGCAATCCCCAATTGGGCACCTCAACGGCGCCTCTCCTAAAGCCAATCAGCGCTTGTCTTTTCACATTCCACTCTAAAGCCACCACTACGGCCCAACAGGCCCCGAAACTAGGGGTAGGCACCGGCCTACTCGCTCAAACGCAATAAGAAACTCGCTACGGCCCAATTTACCAAGGAAATGACCGCATCAGCAAACACGTTACGGCCCCAAATAAACCCCAAGAAACACAAGTACCGCTATGGCTACTCAAACGCACATCGTTTGATGATGACCCTGGTATTGCGGCCTTCGTCCAAGGGTTCTCCCACAGGGTTACCTTGGACAGGTTCGCCTAAGGGTTGGACTCACGACTAACGCATGGGTACCGTATCGGCTCGAGAACATCATGACTCCCTTGTGCCTCAGATACTCTTCGGCCAACGGAGTGGGGGACTGGGGGACTATATCGGCTACAAAAGGGGAAACAACATAAATGGAAACGCAACGGCCTGAAAAAAAAGAGGTACGCTACGGCTCACCGATAGTCGATGTGTGAAACAAATGCACCTCGACAGCACAAAAGATCGCATCGGCTACGAAAACCAGAAGTTCAAAAGCCCAAAGGCACAAGACCAGCACGCAACGGCTATACACACTGAGGAACTGCGCCGGCTCACTAAAGCAAGGATACACAAGTCAAAGCGCTTCGGCCACATAACAGATCACAAGCATGCAGACCGCATCATCCTCATAAACGAGACCAAACATCTTTGCTCCATAAAACCATGTCACCACAACGGCAAGAAGTACATGGGGACCTCTTCGGCCCCAACAAATGGTAATAAAACATGCCAGTATTCTCCATAAATTCACATCTACTGGAAAGAGAAAACGCGCCGCATCGCCCTCGAAACACTTCCCACAAAGAGCGCATCGGCCCGCACTAAAGTTATGAAATCCTCAAGCGCGCCCCATCTACATCAGATGAGGGAACCGCTTCATTCCAAAATCAAAGCAGAACCTCTTCAGGCCACCAAGCACCTCGAGCTCACACAGCGGCCAGCCAGAAAGGAACAAGTACTCCCTTTCGCTTCGGCTTCACCTCAGCTCAGAGAGTGGGGGACTCCTGATAGAGTATATGGGCCTGAACCCCATGGCCCACATACTCAAGTCAACGACGACCAGAAGAACACCCACGTGGCCCCCTTCGGCCAGTGGGCCCGCATCGGCCAGAAACCAAACCGGCCCAGGAAGCACGCTTGGACTCCCGGGACCGCATCGGCCCATGGACCGCATCGGCCATGGGACCGCATCGGCCAAAAGGCACCGCATCGGCCAGATTTCGGCCGGGCAGAATGCATCTTTCTACTTTATTTACTAAGTATTGTACACAGCCCATTAGTGGCCCTATTTCGCCCAAAGAAGGCATGATTATTGTAATGGGCCTCCTAAGCCCATGGCTAGGAGCCCAAATCCACATTTTTTCCTATAAATAGACCCCTTGGGGCTAGTTATAGGGGGTTGAGAAATATAATTACTCACTTTCTCTCTCTAGCTCTCACTTCTCTCTAGAATTAATACTCTATCACACATCATTTGGTTACTCGTGTAAACTTTTTTTTTAAATTAGATACAAACTATTTACAAATACGGAGTATATCGTGTACTTCTCCATTCTTAAATAGGTGCAACAGTCAACATTTCACACATGCCGAGACACAACTTTGACCATTAATATATATAATTCTCTGTTAGTAAAAAATTTAAAAAAAATCAGTTTTTGAAAATTTACAATGAGACAAATTTAATAATATATTTTTCAAAAAAATTTATTAATACATCAATAAATAAAATGTAGTCAAAGTACAACATGTGAATAGTGTAAAATTTCACATGTTGCACTTATGTAAGAATGGAGGTAGTATTTTATAATAACAGACCAGATCTTACATACTGTAAACAAGCCCCTATTTAAAAAAAAAACTAATTGAACTTGCGTCGTGTCTTCATATTTCAAAGAATCAAAAGTCTAAACCTACTTGATAATCAGTTTTGAAATCAAATTCTGCAACATCAATTTCTAAACACATAATAACATCTCAATTATACCTACCAATAAAAAAAAAACTAGAAGCTCACATGGCCTCTTAGATTGCAGTGCGCACAGCAGGTTAAGATATTTGATCATATGATTGTCTCTTTTGTCTTCTTATACAGGAGAGGAATGATTTAGAATTTTAGACGGCCGCCAAAAAAAACTTTTGCTGGCCTGAGGTTTTGTTCGTCAAAATTAGGGATATGATGAATCATTGAATTGTAATAGTTTAAATTGATACGGAGTATATTTTATACGTAGTATTAACGATGTAAAGTAGTTTACTACCCTCCCCCCACGTAAAATATTTTACATCGGACAATGTAAAATGTTTTAAAAAAGTGTCCTACAGTTTACATCAAATAATTGAAACAAACGGTGTAAACTGTTTACTCCCGTCCACTTTACAAGCAAAATGTTTACTTTACATCTTACCAAACGAGCCCTTAAATCCTCGAAAAAAAGTTTGCATAGTTAGTGAATTACTATGTATTATATTATACATAGTATCATAGTATTAATAACTAACTAGTGTACGTAACACCCGGAACATGCCCCTGTAATCATGTTAATACTAATGCATGAATTAAAATGATATTATATCATTGCTTGAAAAAAGTTCATAGTCTGCAAATAAAAGTAGAGGAAAGTGAAAATACTAATGTGCTACATTTCATTCATGTGCTTTAAATCATCGCAAAAAAAATCATGTGCTTTTAATAATTTCAAAAAAAATCAGCAAACCAACTGATTCAGCTGATTTTAATGTTATCAAACGAGCTCTACATATATCATTACCTTTAAATTTGCATGTTTTAAAAGTAGGAAAGTGAGTTTACGGAACACACTAACACACATAATAAATATTTATAATATACCATATATGATGATAAAGTTGGAACCACATACGATAGTATATGATTGTATGTTTAATCGCTTTTATTGTATTTTATTATTTTCAAAATTCTATTCAAATGTGAGAATTAGTTATATTAACATTTATCATGAATAAAAAAAATATGCAAATAAGATGCACAAAACAATAGACAATGAGTTTGGTCGGGGCTAGGAGTAACAGGTGACGGGGTGAAGATGTAGAGAACTTTTGGGCATGCAAATATGCAATGGTGATGTAGAGTAATTCCGCCCAAACGTAACGCACCCATTCTTTTGCTTTTTGTTACCATATAAATAACCATATCAAATTCGTTACAACGAGACAAATAGTTCAAACAAAGTGCAAAAATTACTCGTATATTTCGAAAAATATATTACAATCTTTCTTCATTAAATACAAGAGTCGAACTTTAAAAAATACGAGTGTAAGAAAAAATTCAAAACAAAGAAAAAAGAAAAAACGATAAAGTACAGCTTGCTTGACTTGGAATAATTGATGAGGGAACATGACAAATAAATCTGCATAAAATTTGCTTTGTTTTTTTAGAATATATTTAGAATGTGGATCTGAAAGGGCGGAGGTCAATCTCTTGGGTCCAAGCGGACCGATCTTGGATGTGCAAATGCCAGTACGTGCGAGCCAACTCGTCTGGGTCCATTGATCCATCATCGCCTCCTTCATTCTGCTGTATTTCTCTGACCCCCCATTTCTGCTGCGAACACGATAATGATGATAATAAAGCCGAAGACGACGTTGCCGCTGGCCCTCTGCACATGCATAACCAATGTGTATCCTCAATCACATTTTCTTCCTTTCAATTCTTTTTTCAGTAAACTGATCATTATTCTCTTTACAAGCAATTCTTACCGAGTGTTCATTGTATTGATTTTACTACTAGAATAACACAAGTACTTTATTCTATTTCCTCTTTTCAATAATCTACTAAGATGGAACCAAACTTAATATGATCAGATCAGATTTAAAATCAGATCATATTTAAATAATGATAAAATATGCATACATCAGATGTTTACCCGGACGAGATTTAGTGACACAGCTTAAAGAGACGAAACTCAAGCAATGAAAAAAGTTGTTCAAATAATGATGGAAGGTTAATATTTAAAGATGCTTAATTAAAATGAGAATAAATCCATTTCTACCATTGAATAGTAGAATAATTGAGATAGTTCAAAAACAAGCATTGGTGTTTTAAATCTTACACTTGCATATACATCGTAAGGCTACAAACTTCTATTTGTTCTATATTTACAAATTGTGCACATAATCTTTGCCTTCTGCAATTTACGTAGTAGTTGTATATTACTCGTATTAGAAAATATGATGTCAAATTTATCATATACGCACCTGTTTACTCTACATATGTTGATACATACACCCCTAATATACGCATATGTGTGTATATTTTTGTGGTAAATGGCCCGTGGGACATCGTTAGAGATGGTTGCCTCGTCAGGCCAGGGAGCGTTCACCATATTGTACTGTTCAATCGTGTCATTTTCATGACAGAAAATGATGGATACCCTATAATTTAAATATTTAATGCAGGGCCAAAGGGACCATTTCAATTTGCACACTAATTTTGTTTTTACATTACAGTCCTTGTTTAAAAATAATATGTACACATAACAGAACTATGGAAGTGTTTTTAGAGTAAAGATATGGGGCATCTTCACGTGCTCCATAAGAAGTATGATGATGAAGTGGATGAATCAAATGCATAAATCTCATGATAACGTGTTTCATAGGAATATACTTCTATGGAAAATGTTACCATGTTCTATATATTTTTCGAGTGTTTATATGATTGCTTGTAACAAAATGCAATGCCTATGGGAAAAACTGTGCTTATATTTTTTGAGTGTTTAGATGATTGGAGTTAGAGAGTTTTAAAAATCGATTACTTAGTTGGTTTAAAAGTTTATCTTAATTATTTATTTTTTACATAATATGAAGAGTAAACTAAAATCTAAAATGAAGATAAAAAGAAATGTCTTAGTCTGAATGTCTGATAGTAGTACCAGTTTCAAATTTGCCTATGGAAATATCACATGTGTAAACTAGCCTACTGCAGCTGCCGTTTTAATATTGTAAAATATATGTACATCTTACATCCCATTTTTTGAAGCAGCGTACAAACGATGGCTCTTCTGCTACAGAGGCACACATGAAAAACCTTATAGCATATTAGCATAATAGTTAAAAATTAAGTTGAAATGGATTGATTTTCTTCATTTATATGTAAATTTGGACTTGTTAGTTTCAAATAATAATTTATTCAAATAATTATTTTTTATGTGGAGGACCTCTTAGACGTTTAAAAGATCCTGAATGGAGGTGTATAACTTATTACTACATGACAGAATGACAGATTACTATGACCATGTACCTGAGGCCTCAGGTTATCTATTCCAAATATAGATATACTCTGTACAAACTACTACGGAGCACTAGCTTAATGTAAATATACAAACTAATACAGTACTAACTAATATAGTGTAAAACTCTTTATCTTAATGTCATGTCAGAGACATTTAAGGTCAAATGAGTAATCCATCATACTATGACTCAAGAGGAGCACAGTCATTCCAAAATTGGTCTCCTTAACTAACCACCCACCTTATGAGGCATCTTAAGGCATCCTAAGACGAAAGTATATAGATAAAACTAACATATAAACCTTGAATTTATTCCTCCTACTAGGTAAGTTATTTTAGTGTTTTCCAAGTACGCAAACTGCAAGAGTTCTGTAAATTTCCACATTAAGCTTCTTGTTGCTAATTCCCTTCTGATTACTGTTAACTTCCCTCTTTGAGCATTGCCGAATCAAATCCCATGTCAATCCTAATGCATGAAAAAGTCCAGATGCAGTCACTTGATTTTGACCAGCTAAGATCATATCGTTATCAACACATGATATCACATTATTGGGAGAATCTGATACATCCCTAGTTCAAGAGCTCATATGAACATTGGAAGCGTGCTCACAGACTTAATAGCACAAATATTACGATAAACTGATGTTGAATTATACGGCAACTCCCTTCACTTGTTGTATGTGGGACTACATTCACGTAGACATGCTTATTTCACTTGTTCACCCTTTGAGTTGAGATTTTGGCTTTCTTCTCAGTTCTCATACAAAAAGCTTCCACTCTGTCAAGGAGATTTCGACTGTCACTTACTCAGTTACTCTAGAAGCCTTTCTCAAGTTGTTCATGAATGGGGAGTATCACCCTTACCTACATGACATCACTAATATTCAAATAATATGATAAACTGATGTTGAATTATACGGCAACTCCCTTCACTTTTTGTATGTGGGACTACCTCACTCACGTAGACATGCTTATTTCACTTGTTCACTCTTTGAATTGAGATTATGGTTTTCTTCTCCATTCTCATACAAAAAGCTTCCGCTCTATCAACGAGATTTCGACTGTCACTTACCTTAGAAGCCTTTCTCAAGTTGTTCATGGATGGGCAGTATCACCCTTATCTACACGCCCACACTAATATTCAAATCCACTCCCTACAACTTTCCCTGCTAATGTCCATTTTCTAGAACTTTGGGACAATAAACTTCCATAATCTTATACGATAGTATATGAATGTGGAGAATTATGTAGAGGACAACATATTTATCAAGAAGGCTTCTCCACTTCTACTTCCAAGCGGATACTACACTTCTCTTGAGAACTCAAGAGTAATTTAGCATAGTACACACATGTCTATATGCTGCTAAATATTCCTACACTCCGCAGGCTCTATAATATTCTAGAATATTCATGTTTGTCTGCACAAATCTAGAGAGCTCTACACTTCTTTTACAACATTCTACAATTCTAATGAAGTTTATAAATTAAGGAGAGACTCCAACATAACAACATTTATTCACTAGCTAGCTCCCAATAGGAACATTTTCTTCTTCTCAATGATTCTTCCTCAAGGATCATGCTCCCTTTAACAATTTTTTGGGTGAAGAGGTGGTTGCCAATACAAGTAAAGAGATTCAAATGGCGTTTTTTATTGTTTTGAAAATGAGAGAAATAGTAAAAAGAAAATATGTTTGGTTGGGATCGAAATGGGGAAGATTTGATTATATGTACAAAGGAAAAAAAGGTAGTTAATGTACTATTCTTTAATGTATCAAGGAAAAAATGTGTTCTCCTGGAATGCTTACATATTTTCTATTTTTCTCTTCTTTTTTCTATTTCACCAAATTAATCAATAGTCTCTCTATTTCTCTGTTACTACTCTGCATCCAAACACCACAAAACGTACCTATTTGCTCTTATTTCCTACTGGCTACTGCTTTCCACATTCCTTTATATACTACTCTGTGCAATCAAAGAATTTACATACGGAGTATTAATTTTTTATGGGAACTTTGGGAAGAATGGGAGAGACCAATGGGAATTGAGACGGGAAAGGGAAATGTTTTGGTGGGACCCATATAAAAAGTGTTTGAATACTTTTCTGTTGTCCCAAACAAACACTCTTAACTTTCGATACTTGCTTGTTTGGTGAGCGCCTAATTAAAAGTTATCTTTTGAAAAGAACAACGAAAGAAAACAACAGTTTTAACGAATTTAAAATGCAAAAGAGGGGTTTATTGAATTATTGTGATTCTTTTTTCAAGCCAGTCAGGCCAAAAACGACTAAATTGAACCATAGTTTGAATGTTCATCTTGTAAATATAACGAACTATTGAGAAAACAAAATTAGATCGTTTGTAATGGGGTAATGTCACGTTTGTCTTCTGTCCGAAGGTACTAGCAATCTAGCTAGCTTGAGAGATGGCATCAGCCGTAATATGGAAGGTTATTTCCAATTATTGAATGTGAGCAAATCGCAAAGCAACGACGCACGGCCGGTGCTGGATTCATGCGGCAAAGCGGTTTTGCCAAAAAATTGAGCCCTATCATTCTATATCTCAAGAAGACTTGAGCATATTTTCAATCTAGCTGGGCCTCATTCGATTGGACCAACTGTTTTTTTGTTAACCTTCGCCTAGGTCTTTGTCATTACCAATCACTTCATTAAATTAGTCAAGACATTATTAAAGTCATAATGTAAACAAACACACAAATTTTATTAATTCATTGTAAAACAATTTTAAAGTATGGTAAAAAACAATTTTACTTTTACCTAGTTTATGAACTTTTAAAAACTACTTATCACTCTCCATACAATTGTAGTTTTAATATCTCCAAATACTCTAATGGTGCAAATGAACTGCCCCAAATAAAAATAAAAACAGAATGGTTTCCCAAATTATGTACTAATGTTTTACATGGTTAAAAGTCATGTTATTAGATATATTATCGATTATTATGACATTAATACCGCCATTTTTTGTATGATAAATTCATCATGAGTTGTGTTAGGGTACACATTTTGGTGTACACCTTTTGTACACTCGTCTGTTCACGCACACAGAATCATCTGTCCACAGACAATTCTGTAGAGTTGTATATAGACAGACAATTTTGTGTGCGTGAGACTGACAAGTTTACAAAAGGTTTACACTAAAATGTGTACATCTAGCATTTTTCATTCATCATATGATATAAGATATGTAGTAAGGAGTACGTAGTATGATTTTAGGAAGATAGTTCACAATGTTCTTATTATTAAATTAAGTTAAAACTACAAAGAACCTACATATAATTATGCCTAAAACTCCTCATAAAATACACCAATTCAAGGAAAGGAATTGAAGTAATAATAAATCAACTACGACATCAAAATCGAAATAGTATCGAATAACGAAAGTCCGCTCTTGAGTGAGTCATGCACTATAGCATCAAGTTCCTAGCTACTCCTACTCACTAGTCAAGTAGCTCAGATACTTCACTATCCACAGTTTTTAATTCGAACTTCAATAAATGGTTAACAACTAATATTTCAGTTTCCCTAATAAATAAGAAGTACTAATTGGTATTAGATAGATAGTAAATAAGAGATGATTTGATAAGAATGTAGTGGATTGTTATATAGTGAATAGAAAACGCGGATAGCTATGGAGGAGAATTGGAGAGGGTGCCATGTACGGGTTAGAGGGGAATTGGTGATAGTGATGAGTAAAAACATGTTCCAAAATACATTGTCCAAAATATTACTCCGTATCATATAATGTTAATATAATTATACATGATAAACACCAAATAAAACCTTTTTCTAAAAAGGACATCTATGTACTACACAGAGTGTTCTAAAAATTAGACCTTTTCAATAAGAAGATCCAGTGATATAGATTTCGTTACACGCATTTTTGGATGGCCAGAGGGGATTAGGGGTACGTATATAGACACAGTATATAAATTCAAACGTTGGCCCCGGCCTCTTACATTGAATTTCTTACTACGAAGTACTACTATATCCTAAGACCAAATATTCATATCACTGTAATCCTGATTCAATTATTGATAATTATTAATTATGTACTCCATCTTAACTAGGTACATTGAGTTGATGAGTGGCGTGCCCCCTCACAAGCACACTTGACACTCCTCCACAATATGTGGTCAGGAATCCCCCGGTCTCTGCCCGCCCCAGTCGCAGCTCATCCAGCAGAGCCCGAGGGTTGGTCAGCCTAGGTTGAGGCCCGTGTGCCACGCCACAAAGCCCAATTTGTGTTAGCTTGATCCAGGGACATAAATGGGCCATAGCCAAAGCTCAACAATAGCAAGCCCTATGATTGGTAGGATCACTCAATAATTTTTTTTTGTGATCAGAAAATAGTTTACAATGTTTTTTAATACATGCGCACTCTTTTAGATTGATAATAATTAGTTTGGGATTTTAGAAAGTATAGATCGTTCAGGCAATTATCATACAAGAGCAACTCATCAGCACATACCGTGGTGCGCCGACAACTCCGTCGATGATGACGTGAGCAACGTGTATACCCAGCGGTTGAAACTCTCTCGCCAAGCATTGCGATAAGGCACGCAATGCGAATTTTCCGCAACCTAATATATTCAAATTCAAATTCAAATCAGTTGGGACTGTTCCTAATATTCCGCGACCTAATACATTCAAATTCAAATTTAAATCAGTTACTACTGTGCCGAATTTTCGCTCAAATTTCGAAGGACAGATCATTACATAATTCAGAAAAGCCGGCGATCCCTGAAAGAGAAGCTGCGCAGCCTGTGAAGAGAATCGTCCCTCTACCTCTTTCCACCATTCCTGGTAATACCTGAAATTTGAATTTTCAGGCAAATATGATTCTGTGTTGAATCAAGCAGAAAAATCTATATACCAATTCATCTATAAATGGAACAGAGTAAAATCTGCCAGGGAGATTCACTATCAGAGATCAGAAATGATTCCACATCAGAGATTTTTTTGTTAGTAAAACCTGTTGAGCGCAATGAAACGCCCCGACGGAGGAAACGGCCATGGATTTTTCGAAGTTTTCGACCTTAATGTCCATGAAATTTGTGCATTGAAGAGCCGGTGCCGTCTTGTATGCATTGTAGACCAAAACTTCTACGAATCCGAGAGAGAGAACGCCTTCGAAAGCTTCTCGTATACTCCGAGTATCCGAACAATCTATACGGATGGCGAACACTTGCGCTTTCTCTTCTCTCGCGATTTCATCTGCAAATCTCGACAGAGCACCTGCGACCAAAAAACCGAAGTTCAGAGGTTCGAACTAACAATAAATTGCTACTAGATATCAGCTGCGGTGCAGACAGATCCGATCAGACAGAGAGGCTGACCTAAGTCTCGAGCGAGAATAGCGACGGTGTATCCTTCGTGGACGAACTTGCGGGCGATGGAGCGGCCGAGCTTTGGCCCAACGCCGACGACGGCAGCGATGCCTCTCGGAGGGGCGGTGGAGCTTGCCATGCTGCGCATCATCTCCTCAGCTTATTTAATTTGCTCGCCGGCCGGTTTTGGGCTATCGGATTTTGTGCTGTGGTTACTATTTACTTACTAAAAATAATAATAAGTGCCAGAGAGGATAATGCATATATATTCAATGTACGTGGTCGTTGTCGGAAGAGGTGCCCCCTAGAGGAAGGGCAATAGCAGGTCAGTGATATGAACTGACGAGAAAGCCCAATCATTTGCTAGCTTTCTACATCTACATCTATAGGGAGTTAGTTAATATACTTCCGGCCCTGGACAACTAATTCAGCACACATTAGTCTTACTATATCCAACCGTGATGGATTAATTAACCATAATTTAATTACCTTTTCCAATTAACTTACATGAAGTAGTTAGAAGTTACTCCCAAACTAGTTCTCTGATTTCTTTTCTCACGATTCTTAAGAAAAGTGATATTTTAAAATGTTATCCTTTCTTTTGTAAATGTTTTGGTCAGAGTGGAGTGATTCAATAGCGCTACAATGACAAAAATCGAAATCGAAATGATTATATTGCAAATGTTGTTCCACATGACGAGGGACTTGCCACATAAATTAATGAAAGTTAAAAGATATAAGAAATGTTAGCTTCTTCCCCTTTTTCACGTCTTTGATTTACTTCTTCTCTCAAACTATCCCTCACGTGTTGTAGTGCTTTTCACATGGAAGTTGTAGTAGACCTGCAATCAGAAGGAGTTGATAATACAACTACCCAACAAATAGACAAATAGTCTTATTTAATGCATATGAGAATGCTAAATAACAAGTAAATGCATATGGCTGAGGAAGGATTAAAAGAGGATGAATCTCACAAATGCACAAAAGGACAAGATTATCATGTTCAGAGAGGCTTAATCAGCAAACTCATTGTGGAGTTCAATGTCACATCATGAACAATGAGCAGAATCTCCAACACATCAGAGAAGAAATACATGTGGGATAGCTTGTAGATGTTCAAAGCATCAGGTCTTTGGGAAGGAAAAACATACACTATGTATGATGATCACCTAATTGAAGGCATCTCCTTACACAAAAGAAAAACCATAAGGTTTTTGGGTGTGACTTGGGAATGTCCAAGAACGTATCACACGGATTGTGAAGCCAAGTAGAGTAAGAAGTCATACTAATGCCATAAAGCCATTACTTAGTAATGAGAATAAAGTCAGAAGGATGATTTTGTATAACATAACTAGAACCAGGGTTTCGGTTTCTCCAAAATTCTTGGATGCCAACCCCTCTGAACAGTTCTTCAGTTTAGCTCAATAACTTATCCCAACCATCTTCAATGGGGAAAGGCAGAGGTAACATCATGAACACAATTATATCAGTACACCCAAGATAGATGATGATGATGATGATGATGATGGGAAATTCTCGAGTGCATATGTGAAATCGGTGACCCATGTTTGTGGATAGCAACTGACGATGACGGAAAACACAGATAACTCATGCTTGGATGTAACAATGGAGAATCCTGAAATAGGGCCGAACGACCAAGCTGCTAGCAAGAGCACAACAAACCACGCACACCAACTATTTGATCTAAATGGCGAACCAGAAAATAACAAACCTTCATGGGTGGGCCTTTTAAAAGATAACAGGGCACCCTCAAAAGGAATGAAGCTAAGATATATTCCTATAGAAGGTGATTTTGCTGATATGAGCATTGGAGAACCCATAAATATGGAGGAAGTTTGGGGTTTCTGTCTTGTGGGTTTTTTTCACAAGAAGGTTCTCACGGATAAAATCAGTTTATAAGCTCATGGAAGGATGGGATGTTAGATGCAAACTGCTGCAACATTCTAGAGGTTGGTTTGTACCAGTAACCATGAAGGAGCTGGAACCCATAAATCTAAGCAAACATCCTGAAGATGAATAAAGGGGAGCCGAATGGGGGAGGAGGGACGATCCAACAACGATTTAAATGAAGATGCTCTCATGGAATATAAGAGGGCTCAATAGAGCCTCTAAACTTGTTAGTATTAATACTTACATTAAAGACTTTGATATTGCTTTTTGCTTTTTGTTGGAAACTAAACTGAAAGATGACCAGAAGTTGGATTACTTTGCTACTACCAAACTGAATGGATGTAAAACTGTGAATAACTTTAATAAGATACGGGGAGGGAGGATTGCTATTTTATGGGATGTTGCTAGAGTAAAGTGTGAAATCTTGGAGGTTGAGGCTTAGTTCATCCAGTGTAGGATTCAATGTTTGATCACACAGGTGTCTTTCTATGTCACTATTGTCTATGCTCTTTATACAGTGAGGAAGCGAAGACAATTGTGGAATGATAGGTACACTAAAGGTGGTAAGCACATTGATTTGAAGTACTTGTCAGTAAAGGAAAAAGTTCAGAAACATAGAGTGTTATTGAGCATATTGGCACTGAACAAATGGTTGTGGATCCGCTAACTAAAGGATTGTCACCCAAGATTTTTAATAATCATGTAATTAATATGGATGTTGTTGATAAAGCCTTGTTATGATAATTTTGTCAGTGATTTATGTTTGCTCATTTTTATATATTTTTGTTTAGACACTCATTTGAATTCAATAAAAGTTATGTTTCTGGTTTACTTGTTATCTATTTGATTGTGATCACATATAATTATTTGTAGTGATAACAAATGTTGAAGATTTAAGTATTCCTCAAATTTAAGATTTGAGACTTTCAGATTTCTCAAATGATTCGGATGAATTAGAATTGTCTTGTGATACATGGAAGGGAGCATGTCAGTATAAATGGTGTGTAACCGCCATCATCCATTCAATTTGAAATTCAGTTAAGTTTTTTCTTGATGAGTTTGTTTTGATGAATATTGCGCAATTTAAGTTTTCATCAATTCATCAAGGATCACATGACCAAGTGGGAGAATGTTAGAATATTTATTTAATTATTAATATTCTAATATTGGTCATGTAATTGGGGTTATATGTTATTAATAAAGTTTGTATAGTCCAAGACATTTAATTGGTTTAATGATAGGCTAAACCTATGTTTAAGTCTATCTAGGACTAGGGTTTCCCAACCCTCTCCTCTGCCTCTATATATACGATTATTCCTTATGAAATAACAACACAATATTAGTGAGAGATCTTTACCTGCCAAGAATCTCGTAAGGAAAGAGGCCATAATGGATAAGGGATTTGTTCCGGTTCATTCATCTATCATGGATCCAGATATTCCTAAATCTCTGATCTATCAATATATGATTATATTTAATTACATGATGCCGATCTTGGAATTTAATCATGTGTCCCTTACACAATTACACATTGAATAGATTCTATATATGGAAATGTCTTTAACTCGCAATGTTTCGGCGCGCCCTACTTTCAATATCATTTGCTTTTCACTTTAGTCAAGCTATCTTGGAGCATCCGCAATGGAAGCCTTTCTAGTCTAAATAATCTGTGCCACATGTCATATTATTAATAGACTTTCTAATACACATAATAAATACCGAAGGGATTAGACATGGACATATGAAGGAAGACTCCAATGCGGCCAAATTAAATGTGCACATGGAATTTATTTTATTAATTAATAAAGCATTTTTACTACACTACCGTGGGATGCCAACTTGCCATCATAAGAAAAAATAGCCCATCCATTGCTCCTGCTTATTCAAGTTTCATAAATATGCTTTCTTCCTCAATTTTTATATGGACCGGTCGATCGGACTTTCTATAGAGTAGATATAATTGTTTTTTCTGTTTCTGTCACGTCTACACTACATCGCCGGAAGAAACCCATCTTCCGCCTGCCCGTTCAGTCTTGAGTCCTCAATCCACCCTTTCAATCGATCTGCCTGGAGGTTCATGGAGCAACAACCGCGCCACTCGTCTCCAGTTCAGATACTCTTTTCCCTTGTGCGAGATGAAGATACCGACCACCCTTCATCTATCCAATACCAACCTTGCGCCGGCCGCCGGCCACCGCTTAGAGAAAATTACATGGAGTTGAGTAGTTGAGGCTATTCCATTGTCACTACAAGAAAAATTGTTTTGTGGAACGAAAATTTTCATTGCCAAAAGTTGATAATTCCTTGCCCATTTCATTGGCCAATGGAAATCAAATTCGTCACAAGGTCGTTGCCTAAGTATCGTGGCCCATTATACTTTGTGTGTTGAACCAAATATTTGTTACCCATAGTAATGCTTGTGCATCAATTATTTTCGTTGCCCATAGTAATGCTTGTGCATCAATTATTTTCGTTGCCCATAGTAATGCTTGTGCATCAATTATTTTCGTTACCTATAGTAATGCTTGTGCATCAATTATTTTCGTTGCCTATAGATGTATTTTGTGCAACGAATTTTTACTAATTGTAGCCCCAATTACTCTTGTGTGTTGCAAATTTATGTGGCACAAATATCCTTAGTGCAAGAATATATTCTCAATTGTAGCCCATGACGCTTTTGTGTGATAATAATTTTTCGTTGCACATGAGTCATTTGTGCAACAAAAGACTACCTTCTGTTGCCTATACACTTTTAGGTGCATTGAAATTATATTTGTTGCCCATATAGTAGTACTGCTAAGTCCCCTCATCTCTTATTCACACACAAACACACATACATGCTGCATTTTGAAAGGAAATAAAATACTTTAATAAACTTGTAAAATGGATATAACTTGTGTCTTCACAGTTAATCCCATGAAACAGATCACAACATAACAATGCAAAAGTTTGAGAGTTCTTAACTCATTACATGTTCATTTATTACAAATTTTTAAGATATAAAAATAAAATAAGACTTTGAACTTGAAGTAGCACTTGAAGTAGCACGATTTCACTAAAAACATCAAGCCCCCCTGCAGACAATTATGAGAAGTGTTAGCTAACAAAAAAAATAACTACAATAATAATAATGTACACTAGAGAGAGTTTTCTAAAGCACTTAGATACAAAAAAATTAAATACCCCAATTAAAAATATTTCTGGTTTGGCGATTTGTAGAGGTGGAGAATTCATGGGTATCTCTGTATCCGGCGAAAGGTGTGCTTTTTCCGTTTCCTTCTACTGTTTTTCGGGAGAGAGGCGTCGTTTTTTCTGA